ACACAGAGAGAAAAAAATCTATTATAATCCCTCAAATTACCACCCAAAAATTAATATATTTTTATAAGATACTTGATGTTTACCCAACCTTGGTGATGATGTTTTTCTGTGGAAGAAAAAAAAAGACCATCACCAAAAAAAAAAAAAAACCAAGAAATTACTTTTAAATTCCCCCCTGCGATGGGGGGGAATTGTGGGGCGTGGTAATTTTCTTCTCGACATTTGGTATTAATATAACCTGAGACCTCTAATTTGATTTTTTTTCCCACATATATATATATATATATATATATCTATATATATATATATATATATATATATATATATCTATATATATATATATATATAAAAAATGCATGTGTTCTATTAGAGCGTGTCAGCACCAAAACCGAATACTGACACTGGCAGGCCCCTTGTGTGTGATTTCATAATTTACATGTACACGTAATATCCTGTACTTTTTCTTCAATTTACACACGTTTAGGGGGAAAACTGGGACGCTCAAAGTTAAAAACGATCAGGAAACGACAAATGCAGTTTTTTGGACTCATAAATAGACATAAGGGTCTTGAACATCTAACTCTCACTGGCAAAATTGAGGGCAAGCGTGGCAGGGGAAGGCCCAGAACAACATACTTAGGGAACCTAAACAAATGGGTAACAGGGAAAGATCAGGGAAACGTAGCTTTTTTTAGAGCATCCGAGGAAAGGAATGAATGGAGAACCATGATCGCCGATGTCTGTCGCAGATCTGGCCCTGGATGATGATGATAATGATGGTGAGGGGGAAAACGTCCAATCTTGGCATTGGTGGACACACGCCCCTATTTGTTAATATTTAGTGGTTGTTTGTGTTCTGTTCTATTTTTAAAATTTCATTCTGTAGTGAAACCTTTTTATTCACTTTTTTACATTCTGTGTGGCTACAAATGATATTCTGGATGCCTAAAACAGAGCACAAGAAATTCTGGAGCTTTAGATTAAGTTGCCTCTTTCAACGTATTACTATGTACATCGTCACAGAGAGTTGAAAGCTTGGAAATTAATTATGGCAACTTTTATGGCAAGTTTTGCCATTTTTGTGGCAACTTTTGGACAAAAAATGTCAGCAGACGCAGATGCTAGCCCAGTACCTGCGTTTGTCGCGGCCGCGAGTTTTGCCATTTTTTGGCCCGCGATTCTTGCACTTTTCACAAAGAAAAAGCTACTTCATAACATATTAGACATGTATTGATAATTTTAAAGTGTCCGTGTGTGGCTATTTTCAAGCGAAAAATAAAAATTGTACATTACGTACTATTTCTATAGCTGATTGTCTTTTATTTTCCCCTCTTTGTTGGTGTGTCATTTTTTTTTTTTAAAGGTAGTGTCAATTGCCACCGAGTGACGCGGTGGCAATTGACAAAAATTGACTTTTTGTCAATTGCCACCGAGTAAATTGGAGCTCTTTTGCGTTGGTGGGTAGACTAGTTTATTGTGCTCGAGTGCTCGGTGTAGTGCGTTCGCCTCTCTGTCCCTCTGTGTGCGTGTGTTTGTGTGTGTGAGTGTGTGTGTGTGTGTGTGTGTGTGTGTGTGTGTGTGTGTGTGTGTGTGTGTCTTTTCCTGACCCCCGTTCTGCGATTTATGAATTTCTGCTTGAGTTTGTGTGCGTTTGTGACCTTAGAACTTCTAGAATTGCCTGTTTTCGTTCTACAGCAAAGTGTAGGCTAAGGCTAGCCTAGGCCTAGATCTAGGCCTACGTCTCATTGAAAACACGCCAAGTTGGTACCGTATAATAGTCTAGACTAGTCGTCCAATGAAATTAGTTGAAAACAAATTGACCCATTAGGCACACATACATTATGTATAATGCTAAAGATAGTGTTGTTTTCAGACTTGACACCGCTGATCACTATCTATCTATCTATCTATCTATCTATCTATCTATCTATCTATCTATCTATCTATCTATCTATCTATCTATCTATCTATCTCTATCTATCTATCTATCTATCTATCTATCTATCTATCTCTCTCTCTCTCTCTCTCTCTCTCTCTCTCTCTCTCTCTCTCTCTCTCTCTCTCTATATATATATATATATATATATATATATATATATATATATATATATATCTATATCTATATATATAGATCTATATATATACATATCATGTCTCCACCAAAATCGAATACACACTGGCAGTAGTGGCAGGCCTCTTAATTCGAAGAGTTGATCTGATTGGCACAAAGTGTACTACTTTAAACTCCAACTAAAACTCCATCCACTCAGGTGCTCTTTTCGTCGGGGAGAATGAAATTTCATTGGTTTCTCCCTTAAGGACTGGTGGGGCACCTGAGGTCTATTTTGGCTATTACAAGGCCTAGAGTGCCGATATTTGCTGTGGCACATCGTGTGTTATTGGGGATTTTTAATCAATAGTTCAAAAAGTATATTGTGAATCGGTTGCTATGGAAACGGCGGCCATATTGGATTTTGTATACCTTTTTCAATCCCATTTTATTTCCTTATTTATTAACCGATTCACTTCTAATTTGGCATGCCAACAGTACACATGTAGCTCTTAAATTTAGATTGTTAAGTTTTTTATATATGCTTTAGTTTTTATTTTATGACATTTACAATTGAGATGTTGCAAAAAAAGTGAAAAAAAGGAAAATTCATGCTTTCTAAGCCCATAAATCAAAAACTACTACATTAATCAAAAATTCAACAAGCCAAAATTTAGAACTAGGTGTTGTTCGTATCCTGTGAAAGTTACATTAAAATTGAATAAGAAACAGAGCAGAAAAATGGGATAGTATGTGAAAAAAAAAAGAATTGTGAGAAAACCACCGATACAGGTAAGAAAATGCTAGACAACATGTGCTTTCGCCGAAAAACCTGACAAAAAACACAACTTTAGGGTGTAGCAAGGCTTACATACGTTTCTGGATATTGTTCAGGAAGTGTCCAGGCACTATAATATGTAGGCCTAATAACCCCAATTTACAAAATTTGACCCCCAAACACGATTTCTAGGTGCCCCACCAGCCCTTAAGCCCAGACGCTTAAATTCCCTCTGAAGGAATATAACTGGGGTATTGACCTTGCATGTTTCAAGGCCGAGGCAAAGAAACTTTACTGATTGCTGTATTATTAGGCTTGTGGGCTCAAGCCGCTCGAATCACTGTGCCACGTGCCTGACCATGGCTTGATATCTGACCTAGTTTGCACACCCTCGCAGCTACAGACCAAAGAGACCCCCCCCCCCCCCTTTTTCCACCCTTTTTTTCCCTTGACTCTCTGCTCTGCGTTTTCTTCAATTGAGCCGTGTTACTGTGACGATGTCAGTGCGTTTAGATTTAGTTGTTTTTCGTTGTTGTTTTTGTTTGTTTGTTTGTTTGTTGTTGTTTGTTTGGGGGGGGGGTTGTTGTTGTTGTTTGTTTGATTGGTTTTGGTTTTGTTTGGGGGTTTTTTTTTGGGAGGGGGGTGGTTGGGGGGGGGGACTATACTTGGATGAAGTTTTGAGCGAGTTAATTGTTATATATTATGTGATCTCATGCGTATTATGTTCCCATGTGCTCTGTGTGTGGAGATCAGACAAACAATGAAGCAAGCGTCTTTGTATTGTATCAGTGTCAGCTTACTTAACTTTTTTCTTCCAATTGTACCGGTGGATGTCGCGGGGAGATACAGGCGTCTGTCTGAAGCAAGGCGAGTGGCCTGTAGGAGGGACATCCCGTGAGCTCTGAGAGTGTCTGCTACAGATTCACTCCAGCGTCGCCGCGCTTTTCCCTTTCGTCAACCCGCAGCCACCTCCCGAATCGTCAGCCACCACCCAACCTTTAACACGGGTCAAACTTCCATCTATTTATAGGTAGTTAGATCTACCGGAACATGTATTAGGCGAAGTGATGTGCAATGATAGTCGCAATAGAGAGATTGTTTTGGTCTCTCTTTACTCATCTGCACCACACGAATTTAATTGATGTTTTTCCCTGGACTCTGCCTTTACTAAAGTCTCGTATCTAGATCTATTGACAATATAAAAGTCAATTTAAGCTTCATTTCGTTAGAAAAAAAATGTGTTAGGTTTGCTAACTTCTTAGACTTTGTGTTAAACAACACTTTTAACAAAACGAATGTAATCTCGAAGGTTTAGAAGTAGAAGTAGAAGAGTCTACTACTAGAGTCTTGAGTCTAGTCCAATTTATTTAATCTCTTGAATGTACATGTACTGGATAACAGAAATCTGCAACCTGCCACTAGATTACAACTCTAGATCTAGATCTAGATTCGAGATTTTAGTAAAGGCAGAGTCCAGAGAAAAACTTCAAGAAATTCTCGTGGTGATGAGTAAAGAGAGACCAAAACAATCTCAATAAATAATATATCGCGACTATCACGGCACATCACTTCACCTATACATGTTCCGGTAACAACCTATAAATAGATGGAAGTTTGACCCGTGTCAAAGGTTGGTAGGCCTATGTGGCTGACGATTCGTTAAGGGGCTGCGGGTTGACGAAAGGGAAAAGCGCAGCGTCGCCTTGGTTTTCCTCTGGCTCTCTTTCCAGAATATCTGATGTTATTTTCCCTCAGAGCTGGTTGGTTTGAGGGTATCCGTGTGAGTGGTCCGAACCACTTGATATGTTGTTTTTCAAAGTGTGGTTGGAGTAGTAGGACCGGTGTTGCTCCTACCGTGCCCCTTATGATTTTATTATTTTAAATGTCGTCTCTTCTTGTCTTGTTAGCTGCTCTTAAACATTTATCTCACCTGTGACCAGCTTCCTCTCTATGGCTTTGTCAGGGACAATGTCTGGCACTGATATGTGAGTGTTGGTAGGGAAATGGCGTTGATGAGTTTCGCCTTGGTGCTCATGGGGATATTAGGATGTTTCAGGAGAGGGGCGAGTTGATAGCTGACTGCACTGGCTTTCTGGCATCTAGCCTCTATTTCTCGATCTATCGATCTATTTTTCCATTTTCTGTGGAAAAGCTGCCAATGTATTTGAATTCGCTGCTTTGTTTTAGTTGTGATCCATTGATGTTGATATCCTCTTTGTCTGGTCTCCTGCTAACTGTCATGACTTCGGTTTTGCTAACACCGATCTTCATGTCATATTTCTCGCAGCTCGCGTTTAGTTGGTTCATATATGCTCCTGTAGTTGAGTCATGTTATCCATCATTGCCAGGTCGTCTGCAAACATGAGTTCGTTGAGTGCTTCTGGGTATGGATTGGTCTCCTTTGTAATCTAGTCCATGTAGATCACAAAGAGCGGAGGAAATAGATTGCAGTCCGGTCTGACTCCGGATGTTACTTTAAACCAGTCTGATGTTCCACTGGTAGTGTGGGGGCTCTCGTGGCCTAGAGGTTAAGGTGTTGGCCTCTCATTCAAAGGTCCCGGGTTCGATTCCGGGTAGCGACCAAAAAAATTTCTTCTCTAAAATTGTCTCCTTTCACATCCTTTCCTGATCTCTAACAATGTTCTGTTGTCTGCTTTCATTTCCACTTTCTGCCCCCACCCCCTCACCTCCTTTGCCCCCTCCTCTGGGCTCCCGACTCTTTCTGCAGCCTTTCTACTGCTACTCCTTGGCTCCTCCTTACTGCTGTCTTTCTGCCACACCCCTGATCTTCTGGTAAGAAAGATCTACACCTAGCCTTCTCGGACAAGGGCGAAAAATCTCGGAGGGCCCGTGTGCAAGTTGCGCACATTAAAGATCCCTTGGTGGTCTAAAATCGATAAGAGTAGGCTTCGGCCGCCACCCGGGCAAAATTCAAAATTTCCTACCAACGATAAAGTATTAGGTGTGTCCCGCGCGCTCATATGACCTTATGCAGTTGCGAGCGCCGTAAAACCCTATACGAAACAAACAAACAAACAAACAAACTGGTAGTGCGGACTGCCCTTCTGCTGTTGGTATAGATAGCCCTGATGTTGTCTAGCAGTTGTCCCTTTATGTCGTACTGCTCAAGGAGCTTCCCAAGCTTGTTTCTATTTACTCGATCAAAGGCTTTTTCCTGATCCACAAATACGAAATAGAGATCTTGGTCGTATTCCAATGTCCTCTCACACAGTTGTCGGAGTGCAAAGATTGCATCAGTGCACTATCTTCCTTTTCTAAAACCGAACTGGGCATCACTGAGAAAATGTTCCGCTTTTGCGCGAGTGGCTTCTTTCATGACCCAGCCAATTGACAGTATGAAGAGAAAAGGTGAGAGCAGGCATCTTCGTCGCACTCCTGTCTGTGCCTGGAATCAGGGGCGAAGGCTGACTTGTTTGACAGAGTAATCAAAGGGAAACGGAACCAGATATTATAGCCTGGAGATATCACACAAGAATCTTTCTCGAGGCGGCGAGTGAATGAAAACAAATCCGGAATTCAACCGCCAAAATAATCGGGAAAGTATCTCATTAAATATCAATTCCAAGGGAATACACAAACCCAAAGCAAGGAAGCAGAGATGTCAGTACTAGATCTATAATATGTTATAGAGATACCAGGGAGTCTAACTCTTTGGTAGAACATGACAATTATCATTTTTTAAAATTTCACTTTTGGCTGTTTTTTGTCTAGCTTTTCGCGGCCAGGAGCCGGTGTCATAATCGAGGTCACGATCTGATTATAGGACGTTAAAAAGTCGAGGAAAAAAAACAAGCACTCGCAGAAGTAAAGAGATTATTAGGAGTTAGTTCCCCTCACATCTGTAAGGTAGACTCGAGCTGTGTAATAGTTCACTTACATAATCAGGGCTTAGGACTGATTATAACTGTGGCCCGAAAGGGGTGAACAGGGTATATGTGGCAATGAAACAGTATTGACTGCTAAGCACGTATTCCCTTCAACTCTATTGGTAGACTCTTCCAGCCCCACTTTAAGCTTATTTAATCAAAGCTTGTGACTGCTTATGGAGTGGCCCGAGAGGTGTGAGCAGGCTATTTATGTGGCAGTGAAACCGTTTTGAATGTTAGGCGTAGGCGTACTGTTCATTATTGATTATGAACGTCTTTTTACGTTTAATTTATACGGTTTACGTTTTGGGTGAATTTGACTGCTACAACGTTTCAAAATTAGGAAGGGGGAAGCAGTGATTATTTGATTATACAGACGCTTCGCCACTGCCTGGAATGGTTCTGAGAGTTGTCCCTCATGGAAGACTTCGCAGTTTGTGCCATCATAGGTGGCCTTCACAAACTTGACGATTTTGTAAGGTACACTGTATTCCAATAATGCTGCATGAGTTTCCACAGAGTTTCCCTGTCCACGCTGTCAAATGCCTTTTCATAACCAATGAAGTTGACCACAAGTGGTGTATTCCGTTTAATATATAAAGCGATTGCTCAACAATGATGCGCAGAGTAGCGATCTTGTCTACACATGATCCGTTCTTGCAAAATCCACTTAGTAGGCCTACCGTAGGATTTCCAAAATATTTCATGATACGTTCAATGTTTCGCCCTCAAAAGGCTTCGTAGGAACATTCCAAACAAATGATGTAAATGACTACACTGATCTAGCTGTAGAAACCAAAGTGTGTACACTCACACCACAATGTTTAGGCTTAAAGATGCGGTGAACACACATTGGAAAGGCCAGAGAAAGGGGAACACTTAACTATAAGGCAAGTAGTGGCAGGGAGAGAGAGAGAGAGAGAGAGAGAGAGAG